TAGCTAAGATCTACCCATTTACTGAAGGAAACAAACTCATCCAGTAAATACAACAAAGCAGGTAACGGAAGTTTCAGAAAGCTTTCATTGTTTAGGGATTTCAGACTGAAACGTGGAGCTATTTATAACAGCAAGCTTCATTTACCAACTGGAATACAAGTCTCTCACAAAGCTTAAAAAAAAAAAAAAACTCTCAATGAACTGTAGACTATTAGCAAAGCATCTTGCTATAAAACAAGTTTAAACATACGGGCAGAGTGTACTTATCTGAAATCCACAATCTCTTTTCAATTTTAATCAACCAGTGCAACACTGCAGAATGGTACCTGAATAAGCCACTATACACATCTACATATCACTGCAAATCCTGAGTATCGGGAAGTTTCAGTGTCTGCAAAGACAGCTGGCAATTACAGTCCCCCGCCATTTTCTAAAAGCAACCTTAACATAAGTCTAACAGTCAAGTAATTCATGCTCCAGCCTGTGTGCTTTCTACTCTTCAAGTTATTGCAGCAAGCATCAATCAGCCAACATGAGATCAAAGCCTTGGCACCAGTGAGCATTGGAAGGCATCTCTCCTTTTTTCTAACTGCCAGTCTGCTTGAAGTCTCAGAAACAAAATCTTATTCTCTCTTCTGGCACCCACGTGAAGCGATTCTGATCAAGACTCACATAAGGTTTTCCTACTTCTGCAAGTGATAGCCTCCAGCCCCACCCCCAGTTGTGACCCAATATACTGCTTTAAACTATGCAGTCTCTCCCTGTTGCATTTTCAACTCTTGTGAGTCCAGCACTATACCATTCTAATTACATCTTTGGCCTTAAAACAGAACTAGACATTAGCACAGGACAACATGAGCCAATGAAACACGTCCAGAAAAGCTACGTGGGAGCACAGGTTAAATGCAGGTCAGGATAAGTTGGGCAGCAACAGGAAGCCTGCAACCCATAAAATATTAAGGACTAACAGCATAACTTTGTCTCTGCCTATCCTCATTCAGATTCTCACTTAAGACTGCTAGCATCTTCGCTGTGCTAAGAACAAAGAATAACCAGACACCTCTCAGTTTACTTTAGCCAGTATTTTGAAATTTGGCTTCAAAAGAACAGTGTCACAGCAACTTCTTTATACAGTCTGAGCATGGAAGACATATTTAGAACACTCAGCATGAGAACCATCTTTCTAACACTTACCATCAGCATCTACCTCGTTGATCATATCCTGCAATTCTGCTTCTGTTGGATTTTGACCCAGCGACCTCATGACAGTTCCCAGTTCTTTTGTTGTGATAGTACCATCACCATCTTTGTCAAATAGGGAAAAGGCTTCCTTGAATTCTAGAGGCAGAAACAGTCCCACTGATTAATAACAGTGCCAGCATAAGGTAAAACTGCATATAAAAATGCATTCCAGTAATAATGCTTGGTAATATTTTAAGAAACAAGCTTGTCCATGGATTAACAGAATTAGTATTTTCAAGTATTAAGAAAAAACAGTTACAATACCAACTATAACTTGCACAGCCACGCGACCTAGGCTTCAGTGTACTAGCATCACATCACAATGCTGATGTATTTCAACATCTTGTTGCTTGAACCACTGTTGTATCACAAACATTTGTGTAGGATAAGTGAAGAGAACGCTGTAATTTCCTATTTTACCATCAAATGGCTTATGGGAATAAGAAGAATGTGTAAATAATAAGATGAGTAAAATAACACTAAAGAAACAGAGTAAGAATTGGTGATCTCAGGTGGGTGTGACTGGTCTTCAGAAGGCCCAATACTGCTTCTTCTCCCAATTAGTCTGTACTAGACACATTCTTAGAAATTAAGAAATCAGCTTAAGGCTTATTTGTTGCCATTTGACTTCAAGTTTATAGTCACATGAAAAAGACAGCTAGTTCTGCCTTGACTTCAAGCATGCAATCAAGATTCTAGTAATTGTTTGTAAAAAACATAGGTAGGCCTGGCTCAAATCATCTCTGGTCCAATGAAACAGTACCCTAGGACAGAATTGCCAGTAATCTTCCAGAACTTTTCAGAACAGAGTGCTTTTATTTTAAGAAGTGCTAGCACAGATTTGAAACCACAGAAAGACATCTTGTCCACTGTATTTGAGATTTTTTTCATTCACAAGCAATTAGCCAAGAATATTTATCAAGGTACTTACCAGCAATCTGCTCTTCAGTCAGCTGGTCAGCCTACATGAAGAATAGAACACTTTAGAATAACACTTCTAGCAACATCCAGCCCCAAGACACCTCCTTTCAATTTCACAGCAGCAACTTATCATTATTAAGGTCATTTTCAACCCCTGGAATTCCCCTGCTGCTAGACGATCCCACTCACCTACACAACACAGCCATTTCCAAAGACACGAAAGCCACTTCTCCTCCGAGCTGCCCATTAAGACTAGGATATACCATCCTTCAACTCAGAGAGCCTGATTTGGTCAAGTGAAGGACACCAGGCAGGCTCCTTGTAATTGGTCAGACAGGCATGAAATCCTTAATGACATGTGTTTAGAGTTTCACATCACATCAGATGTCATTTCCAGAAGCACAGTGCCCTGATCAAGCACAGGGGGCATTTGCACGCTGGTGGGCTAATGACAAGTGTGCCACCTAGTGATCCTCCACAGGTCCGCCCTCCCAGCACAGCCCCAGTGTGAGCCTGCAGTATGCTTTATGAATAGGGCTGTGCTGCAACAGGAGGAACTGTTGCTCAGTACCACAAATTATCACCAGCCAACAGAAACAAAGTGCCAGTTCAAGCACTGTGTTACTCTTTCACACGGCCAACCACCATAAGATGTCTCCCACCATCACAAAGGCCATTTTGTGCACCCCTTTAGGCAGCAGGATGGAAAGCACCTGCCTAGGAGCTTCTGCTCGCAAGGAGACTAGCACTGCACCCAGGGACTCAGCAGGCAGGAGCACACCTGCAGCCCCTAACTGTGCCAACCACATCCTTCCAGAAGACTCCATCACGATGAGCAGGGCATCACCCACACCTCCAGCCTTTGCACTAAGAGAGCTAACCAGCTCTTTTAGAGGAACGATGGCAAGAAACTCTTCTCATTGACAAGACAGCAAACCCAAAGCAGGATTTTACATACCTTTACAGAGGTACTGGTGAACACAAGGCATCAGCTCCTCTAAAACCTATTTTTTGAGGAGCTTGTACAAACCCCAACAAATGACTGTATAGGTCTAAGAAAGGCATCTTGTAACCCCTTTTGACTTGAAACCCCATTACTTTCAGGTACAACAGCTGGATAACTGCACCGGAGAGCAATTGGGAACTCCCTGGCTGTACTGTCTCTTAAAGCACAGGGGAATATCACAGGACTGAAAGCCCGATGTATGCATTAACAAACAGGCTGCATCTCTGCGCTTAGGCAGCAAACTTCATCGCTTTTTAAAAAATATTTTAATGCCTGTACCAGGTGACTAACCAATGCCACGTACTGGGTGGTTAAAACCTGCAAAAACGCTCGCAGTTAAAAACCAATTATCTTGTGGAACCAAACAGCTGCAGAAAACACACCCAAAACGCACTTCGGCTTCCCACTCTTTCTGCAACTTTCCAGCAAATGAGAGATGTTACAGCTCGCGGACATTTACGTAACGGCCACACACCCCGCAGGCCGGGAGGCAGAGCCCCGCCTCGGCACGATCTGCGGCCCGCGGCACCGCTCCGCGTCCCGTTCTGCAGGGCTTCTTCCTGCGGCCGCACTCAGGGGCGGAGACGGCGGCTCCCGGGCACGCCGCGCCTCGGCCGGAGCCGTACCCGGCCCCCCCCGCCCCCCCTCCAGCGTCCGAGTGATGTCAGCGCCGCCCGGCAGGAAGGCGAGATGGAGAGACAGCGCCGAGCTACACCCAGATGGCCGCGGAGCGATTAGAGCTCAGCCGCAGCCCGAGCTCTCACAGAAACCGGAGCCGCGGGGAAAAATAAACCCGAGTGCTTCCCCGGCTCTTCGTCTTTCGGAGAGGCCACGCGGCACCGAGGCGACGCGTTTCCACGGCGGGGCCGGCGCAACAGGCGGCGGCCGCGCTGCTGCACTGCGGCCCCGCTCTGCTCCGCGCGGCCGTCCCTCCCCCTGCTGCCAACCCCTGGGCCGGGGAGCTCTGCCACCCCCTCCCGCCGAGCCCCCGCGCGGGGCCGGGGACGCGAGCGAGGCGCGCTACCCACCCCCCAACCCCCGCCCCTCCATAGCCGGGGGTGCGCGGAGGCTGGGGAGGAAGAGGAGGAGACATGATGTAATGCGGGCGGCGATGCTGCGTTTTTTTGGGGATGGGGGGGTGCGAGGGCGCAATAGCCGCAGCGCGGAGCCCTCCCCCGGCCGCCTCCCCCCCCCCCCCCTCCTCCCTCCCTGCGCAGTGCAGCTGTGCCGGGCTCCCGCCGCAGCCCCACGGAGCCGCGCCCGGCCCTTCCGGAGGGCAGCGCGGGGAGGGCGAGGTGGGAGGGAGGGAAAGAAGGCGGGCAGCGCCGCAGGGCCGCGCTGAGGGCCGGGGTCCCGCTCGGCAGGATCCGGAGAAAGGGGAAGGGAGGAGGAAGAGGAGGAAAAGGCCCGGGAGCCGCGCAGCGCGGGGGGGGGAACACTGCCGGGCGGGAAGGGCCGCGGCCTCCCGCCACCCCCGCGCTGCGGGGTTCCGCCGTTACCCGCCGTTACACCGCCGCTCCCCGCGCACTGCCCCCTGAACCCGCGGCTGTACTACGTACCATGGCACGGCGGCGGGCCCGACGGCGGCTGCACGAACTGCGCGACCACGAGCGGCGGCGGCTGCTACCTCCTCCCTAGCGCGGTGCGAGAAGTGCTGGGGGTGTGAGCCTGCGCCGCGCCGCTATATATGGAGCGCTGTATCCCTCCGCCGGAGCGGGGCCTTTTTCTCTCCTCCCCGGCGCGGTATGGGTAAGGGTGACTGCGGCGAGCAGCCCTGCCCCCTTCGCCGCCCGGCCCCTCCCCTCCCCCCCCCCCTCCTCCGGCGGCCCGCTCCCACCCCCCGCAGCGCTGCGGAGCCGGGGCTCGGCGGTGCCCCCGACCCCTCTCTCCTCGCCCTGAGGTAAGACCCGGGCAGGGCCGCCACACAATACGGCGCTGAGCGGCCCCGAGACGGAGATGTCCTCCGGAGGGGCTGCGGGAGCACAGGTGCCCTGCGGTAATCACAGCGCGTTTGTCAGCGCCGGCACCCGGAGCACGGCGACATTCGGTCCGCGACCGTCTGCGGCTGACGTGTCGCTTCAGCCCCTGCTCAGCAGAACTACAAGAGGAACGGCGTGAACATGTCCTGAAGTCAGGCGTTCTCTGCCCCGGGTTTTGGGGTTTTGTTCACCAACCGATGATAACCCGGGTAAACACTGAAGCATTCACATCGTGCCTTCTCCGATAGGTACAGAAGCATACCAGACCGGATCTACGCTGGGATTCCGCTTCCCTTAACAACAGCACCCTCCGATCCGAGCTCCCTGTAGCCGAGATGCCTTCAGCTAAGGCTGTACCCTGGGCCTCTCTCTGGGGGAGGCCATAGTCCAGGTGGTCTGTTCACAGCATAGCCATCATGAAAAGCATTTTCCTATATATACTTTCAGCTTTGAAATACAGACAAAATAGGTTATGTTCTGTTTGCTGAACGATTTCAGTAGCTCTACAAACATAGTTACAATTTATTTGCTTGCCTTTCTGGGCAGGGTGATAGGATGGCAAACACGAACATTATCCACTTCCCATCTAGAAATACTTCCCACACAAACCACAGCACATCTCATGCTTTTGGTCATCATTTGGTCCCAAAGCCATGCTGACATTTGTGTGAGTAGTGTATGAAATGGTGTCAGAAAACTGACTTGCAGCTGGCTGGTCTGCAAATTGTAAGCTTATGGACTGCTGCCATTTTAGATACAGAATGGCTGCCTTGCTATATTAAATATGTCTGCTTAAACAGAAAGCAGTGAGGTTGAGTGTTTTGTTACATACAAGAACTTGCAAATTAATATTTTGTTTTCAAACCAGGCCAATAATTTTAAGCTCTTATTTCCCAGTGTAATTTCTTTCCAGGAAAAATGACACAGTGTTCAATTAGTGTGAGCCACTGGTGCTTTGCTTGGAACTCTCCAAGTCTCAGGATGTGAAGAAGAGTGTCCACGTACAAATCATTCACGTTGCTGTACTGCCCTTAAACAGGTGAAGATCTCCTTACTGAAATGAGAGCTCTATAAAAATACTGGGGTAATAAATGCATACAGTTATCTTGCAAAGATAAATGGGCAATGCAATCTCATGGTCTTTGGCCAAAGTGCTTCTAATGCGGATGGTTGAAGATATTTTCAATAGAATAATCTCAGCAGCGTTAAATCCAGCAGTTTAGAATGTGAGTGCCCTATTTCAATCTCTTGTTTTTTATGTACATGTAATACGTTCTTTCATTGATACAAAGCCTTCACTTGTTAAAAAGTGAAGGGATTAGATTATGTCTGCTGAGGAGATTATGAGTAATTAAACTTTATGTAGATTCTTTCATAAAATATCAACATTACAGTGTTTGTACATATGTGAGGAAGCTTGGCAATGTGGAACAGCCTCTTGGTCACCTTCAGTGGATGTTGCCAAGGATTAACAGGACCTCTGGGTAGAAGGATTGCTGTGTCTTTGTTTCTTATTTTTTCTTTTCTGTGTGTGTGTGACTACTTTTGCTAACTCTTGATGGTTTACATTAATAATTCATTTTTACTGAAAATGGAATTTCAAAACAATTTTTTTTGAGTGGCTTTGAATATTGTCTCACTTTATATGAGAAAAAATTCAGGATGATCAACTTAGATACCACAGATCACTTCTGCAGTAGTTTCTGCTAAATTGCGTCATTCTGGATTTGAAAGTATTTCACAGCTAATGCTCCAAAATAACATTCTGACTAAGGGATTTTTTTTTTTCCTAGTTTGACATATGGCAGTGATGAATGTAAATAAAACAGAATATTAATGTTTTGCTGCTTGCTTAATGTAGAAAATCTCACCTAAAGTGGCATCTGCCTATTCCTTGTAAGCTTGCTCAGTTGTATGCTAGAGTTTGATTGGTATTTGTTCACTTCAGACTGACATTCCGCTGTGGGCAAGCAAGAATGCTCATGTCATTCCAATGACATGCAATGTCGAATGATTTGCCAGGATCTTATACAGTCTCATTCAAAATCTTCTGGATCTCAGTGGGATCTGGACTGGGCCATGGAATTGCTCAGTATTTATTTGTTCCTAAACCCATCAAAGCTGGCCATGCCATTGCTCCTGAGCTTTTCTGCAACCGGGCCGTGCAGTAGCTGTTAAGATGAATTTCTAACTGAGTATTTCTAGCTAGTTGAGATTTACTTTCTAAATTAACTTACTCTCTATCATTTGTTGTTGTGGTTGTTGACTTGTGTTTGTCTAAGCTGTAATATTAACCAAAAAATTAGTTTATGAATTTATTAGATCCGGAAAGAGTCTATTCTACCTACTGCTGTACCTCTAAGACTTGTCTTACTGTGATTCTAAGGTTCTGTGCTGTTCTCTGTTTCTGTAGAGATCTATATGTCCTTTCTCTGGGAATTGCCTAAGATAGGAGCAATAATTCCATTAGGAAATGAGAAAAAGACTAGCCTTCCCACTTACATGCAAGGTGTAACCTTGCTTGCTTCAACCTTGGCTTTGTTAAGTACTGAAGACACGGAGTTCACACATATCAATTGTTTTCTCATACATTATGTAACAAAAATCAAAATTTAAACAATTCATAGGCATCTGCTCATGGAAAAAGGATGTGAGAACACACAGGTTTGAGATACAGTGCACAACTGGGTGGCTGATACTATGATAATAACCAGTATACAATAAATTAGATGTATAAGAGCTCAAAATTATGTATTTTAAGTGCATGCAACACCTGTGCATCTGAAACGAATTCATAATTAGTCTTTCTTGATATAATATTTCCAGTTATACATTTGAGCTTCCTAAACTGGGGTTGAATTTGATATGCTCCTTTTCAAGTCAATTGGAATTCTGTTGGTATAAGAGAAAAGAGTTTTTTACCCTCTCAGTAAAATTCTGATCATATAGTCAACATTTCTTTGGGAGACCATTTTCCACAAAATTAATGCTTCTAAATGCCATTGGCAGCTGTGAAAAGCTGAGCCTGTATCCTTACAAAAATGCTCTATAAGCTTCACTAAGATTGCACATAAGTGGGTGGAATTCCATTGAAATAAAAGCTAGAACAGAATTGAATTTGACCACATTTATGCAAGATGTAAAAATAAAACGTTGCTTTAATCTTAACATCCAGGTTTCCAGGCCTGGTAGCTCTTAAATGGGAATATACACATTCTTGTAGATAAGTATTTCTCTTCTGAAAGAAGGGAGGTGGAGGAAGAAACTCTCCACGTTTCAGATGTTCACAATTTCTTTATATTTACTTCATTCCCACTGGCATGTATGAAAATCACATACAATTATGATATCCTCTGAGCATTAAGAATTAAAAGGCCATCTGTGTAATTGTATAACAGTAGTTGTTCCTCATGTTTAGAGTCCATTGTCTTGTAAAGTTTTAGATGGTGATATAAAACTGTTTTAGCTGGTGGTTAGAACTAAATTATTTACACATTGTAATTAAATTAGTGAGTACTTTTCTACATAGCTATGTAAATTGGCACCCTTAAGGCCCAATAAAGTGAAGAGTTTCATGTTCCAACAGTAGGGCAGTTTGAGTTGGGAACCTTAAAGATCCTATCTTAAAAAGACTTCCACAGATGGGGAATTATAAAGCTGCTCCAATACATAAGCTCAAGTAATGCATCTAGCAGATTAAACACTGTAAGATAATTATTGCAAACCAAAGTACTTTTCCCTACTCCTAACACTTGAATTGTAAAGAGAATTAACAGAAAGAACAAAACTTTTTGCACAGTGTTAAAAAACATCCTTTCTTCATAGCTCTGAGAAGGGTTTGAGAGAAACATTAGAGTACGTGAATACAGGATTTTCCTTCTCAGGTTTTGTAATTGCCATTTTCATAAAAAGGTAAACATTGGATGATTCATGATATAAACAGAAGTTACTCATTCCATTTGTTCTATTGTTTCTGTTTTGTTATTGTTTGTGTTTTTGTGGATAAAAGCCAAATTGTATTAGCTATTTTTTAAGAACAAAATGCAGGAGACAGAATATTCATAAATGCAAGTTTGTTAAGTATTTTGTATTTTTACGTAATGCCATCAAACATACTATTTCTTAGGTCATACTTCTTCTCTGTTGGTTACATTTATACAAACTAGATTTCCTGATAGTGATCAATGATTCCAGTTAATGTATCTGCCAAAGAAAAGGTATATATATGTATATGTATATATGTATACATGCATATATACCTTTTGTTATATTATATATAAATATAAATATATTTTTATTTATAAATATTAAAAATATACACTATATGTATATAAATACATACTTGATAACAAATATATTTAGAAATATCCTACGTGGAAAGGTATGTATGGAAACAGTCACTGTAATGACAGGAAAAGTTCAGTTTCTAATTTCAGTAGATACAGATTAAATGACAATAGAACAAACAGTAAAACAATTCTTGGTCAAATTCACCCTACTAGGAATGGCTTGAGTTTGCATTTCATTTTTCAAGAATATACCTTTCTCATTTCAGCTTGTTCTGTTTAACATATAAAACAAAATTAAAAAAAAAAACAACAAACCCCGTAACTTCAAAATTACTTGACATTACTTTTTTACATAATGGAATTGACTAAGTATGCTGTCTGTATTGTTTTTTACAGCTTTCCTTTGTCCATAAGCAATTCACTTACATCTGAATATTCCCATGGCGCAAACTGGGACATGAATTTTGCAATAAAAATCCTAGCTAAATTTCATGAGCAATTGTGCTTAAAAGTAGGATTACTTCAAAAAACTTTCATTTTGCACAGGTATATGACTAACTAGTTACAGAGTCAGGCTCCAGTATTGTAAAGCAGTAAGCAAAATGTTCTATTACACTTTGCTTGTTTGGAATACTTTGTAGGCAAACAAATACAAATACATATTGCACAGGCAGATGGATCTGTAAAATCCAGATACTACTAATGGCCATGTCTCTTTTACATAACCCCAAATAATAATTCTGTAGTTTGCGTGAAGTAGAAAGGCTGTCATAGGCCTTTACACTACAGCTAGAGGTAAAAAATTCAACAACTGCAAATACAGAGTTCAAGGGCCACAGAATCACAGTTCCCAGTACAGATTTCCAGTAAAAGCAAACATGCCCTGAAGTCGATAAATCCACATTAATTTGCATGAGATACAAATTTCTTCTTCCCTTCATTTCTCTCATGCATATGAAACAGTTTATCAGATTCCTCACAATAAGCAGCTATGAGATCAAACTCACTCTACTGAAGGATGTCTAATTGTGCCATCCAAGAGAGAACCAGATTCTCATCCACCACAGTATGGAGCGAACCTCAGGTGAGAAGTATTATACATACATCTAAATTACAGATGCCAGAAGCCAGCATCCTCGTCAGGTGATACTCTTCATTTGTTTAAGCACTTGAAAGAAGCTGCGGAATCACCACACTTCCTTGGACAGCTAGTTTAAGTTCTTTGTGCCTGCATCATTAATAAACCCACCTGAAAATGAAATGACTTCTCCAACTGCCCAATCATCATTTTTAGAGGGAAGAAAAACTAAATTTTCCAACAATTTTGAAGAGAAATTGTATTTCTGCAGTCAGTTCTGAGAAGCTGTACAAATGATTTCCAATCTCTGCAACCTACTGCTGGAGTGCCAACAGAGCACTTCTCCCCTGGGAACACGGCATGGCACTACCTAGGAAATCCTCTGCTGAAGGCTTCTATTTTTTACAGTCTTTCAGTGAAGAAAATTAAAAAAAAAAAAGATAAGAATATAAACTGCCTCCACAATACAGTCTCTTTCTCCCATTATACGTTTTTTCTTTGGTCCCTCCTCTTAATTCATTTCTTTGTATAGAACTTTGGGTTCTTGCATTTGGAGGCAGAAGCACATGTGAAGTCTGGCCTCCTAAATGTCTGCTCCTCAGAGCACACACAAGCCTCTGCTCTGAAGGACCTTGGCTTATCGCTGAGATTCCAGAATTGGTACTAAAAAGAAAAAACCTGTTTTTCTTTGTAAACCAGGAAAATTGAGCTGTGTCATGGGGCCTGCTCTGCTTCCCAGTGTTTTTGTGAGGAAAATCATATCAGCTACCCAATTAAATCTCTGTTCAATCTCTGTTAAATCTCTGTTAAATCTCAGCCTTATTCTGAGGCTGTCAACTTATGTGAAATAAGCCTAAAATTCAGGTCTGTCCCAAGCACTTTGTGTGCACCTTTCCTGGCAAGCGGCACTGGCCTCCCCCACTGGGCGGCTATTTGTTATTATTTGTGTTGTAGGAGAAGTATGCAAGATGCTAATGAAGCATTTATATTTAGTAAGTGCACCGTTATGTGCTGGCTGCGAGTTGGCAGCAGCGTTGTTACCAAGCACAAGCCTAACGGAAAGGTGCACTGCACCGGGGATGGGATTTTATGCTACGTAGAAGGGAAGTACATGTAATGAGTTTATTTTGGTTAGCTCTCAGTTTGGTTCTGGGCTTGCCAATACTGACATCATTTTTCCAAGCAGGGTGCACCGTCTAAGACTTCGCATTGCTACCCGTGGGGTGGGCCGGTGTGTGGGC